ACTGTAAGATGAGAAAATGTAACAGAAATGAAATTTACTTCTATAAATGAAAAGCATCTACTTGTGTAGTGCAAACATTTGTTATACACGTTATTAGGGATGCACCGAGCCAATATTTTTATCGGTATCGGTCCAGATATGAGGAAAAAAAACTAGATCGGTATCGATGACAGTTGACTTGATATAGGGGCCGATCTATTCATTCTAACTCTATGCTATGCCGTCATGCGGCAGCACAAAAAACACAACACGGCCATATTGTTTATGATGGAGCGTGCGAAAGGATCTGCGTAATGGAGGTTTTTCACGCTCTCTCAGCCTACTAGCCCAATGGCTACGTGCAATATTAGTGGGAGAAATGTTCCGAGGGTGTTCCAATGGCGGTGTTAAATTTTCAAACTATAACACCACCAACTTAATTAAACACCTCCAGAAATTTCATAACAAAGAACTTGCTGAGATTATCGGACTCGCAGGGTTGCTGAGATGATACTGATGATAATGATAATGACACTTTGTTTTTTTACATGTTGAACAAGTCAGAGAACTTTTGGTTTAAGATTTTGTGCACAGTTGTTAAATAAATAAATGAGTCATAACATTTATATTTTGGTTGTTGCCTTTTTTTTGAGGAAAAGGGAAGTCAAATCATATGCACAGAAGAATGATCCCAGTTTTTTATTATCACACAATAAAACTAATTTTTTCGGTAATAATTCAGTGCTGCTTTTGGTATCGGTATTGGTTCGGTATGGGCGGACATGAAACTTCAAATATTGGTATCGTATCGGAGGTGATAAAAGTGGAGGGGTGCATCCCTACACGTTATAGAATAATTTTTGCCTGATTCAACTAAGGATTACTTTACACTATAATAGTAATAATATAAAGTTTTCTAATCATAAAAACAGAATCGGTAACAGACTCCAAGCATGCTAAGTGCATCATGACTGGCTTCCAGGTATATTTGTGTAATTTATTTTTGCAGTCTTGTATCCATTTAAGCATTAATTGTAACTACATTTCAAAGTGTTAGTGGTAAAGGTGTTTATAATAGAAAGTCAGGGAAATATTCATAATGATTTGGTATACGTTACTATATCTGAGCACAATTCAGCAGCAGACAACTGCTTTTGGACTTAATACAAATAACATACAAAAAACAAGCAGTTGTCGATAGACACTTTATTTTCAGGCGGTTTATTTTAGTAAATCTGGAGGAGGAACTAGGGCGGATAAAGGTGAAGTCTGTGATGACTTGTTTTGTACATCTGAATTAATTTATGCACGGCAAGTTTCAGACTTCCTCCTTAGCCCAAACATTCAGCATGAAAGCTGCATACTTTTTAGTACAAAAGCCTCCTGGTCCTTCTGATCTGCCTTTAATTGTACCATTTCAAGAATCTATGCCTTCCTCTGAAATATTATTATTTCAGCAGCAAAATACAAGACAAAATCTAAATTGAAAAAAATAAACGATTTTTAACTTTAGTTACAGATCAAGTAATGACAAGTGATGTGTTTGAAATCGGAATTTTTAACTGTGCCTTAAAAAGCAAAACAGAAGAAATGATGATACCTGATCAGATAGAGTAGGTTTCTTGGAGTAAATGCGGTGCAGAGCACCATGGGACACCACACAGTAAAGACATTTGTTGTAACTGCTGGTGGCAACAACAATCAGCTCCCGGTCTGCCTTGGTTAAACTGCCTGGAGGAAACAAAAGAAACAAACATGTTGAATAAGCTTTAAAAAAAACAACAACACAGACATAATATAAAAATATTTAGGGGAAGCAGCGATTGCTGTACATTAAACCTATCGTTCTGTTATCCACAATCAGGCACCAACTGAAACTCTCACAGAAATTAAAAATAATCTTTTTAATTTAGAATCAGAATCTCTAAAAAGCTGGGCTAGATATAACTCAATAGTTTTATATCAACAATGACAGATCATAGTAATCAAAATAAAGTCTAATGGAGCTAATTCAAGGCGGTGGTGGACAGATAAATTCATATGAATATGATTTCTACGTATGGAGACACGTTTTAGTTGATTTGCTATCAACACAGTTCTACATAATTTCTGACAAAACATTAAGAATATGTTTAAAAGTTCCCTTTTTCATTCATATTTCAATACGTTTTCTCATCAATGTGCGAAAGTTTGGGGCGATGCATGTTCCTGCGACAGGAGAGGAAATTCTTGTCAGGCAGGAATTTCTCGGGATTTATCTGTCCACCAAAACTCTCTATTTTAGGGCATCCATGTATAAGAAATATGAAAATATTAAGAATATGTTTAAAAGTTCCCTTTTTCATTCATATTTCAATCCATTTTCTCATCAGTGTGTGAGAAGAGAGGTCATTTTCGGTAGGAAAGTATTTCTCGGCATAACAGAAATACTGATGTAGTGGGAAAGTTGCATATCATCTTTTGGAAAGTAAGCTTGTATGAGCGATGCAAACAGCAACTTTTAAACAGAGCGTGCATGAGGAGAAATTGACTCGTGCACGCTCTCGCACGCATTTAATAGTCATTACCTCTCGGGAATAGGTGAAGGGTTGTGCATGTGCATTTTTTGTTTTAAAGAGGAGAGGGTGGGTCTTTTCAAAAATTAATGAAATTCCTCCACTATACCTCCAATATCCCCCTGAGGGAGATTCTCAGTCATTTTGCTGTCAGAAAAGCATCCTTCTAAGTGTTTAGTCTTTCATTTAGCAGTGTTGTTTTTTAAAACTCATTGTAATCCCATCAAACACTTAGCAACATATAAAATTAAACGTAATGTTACAAAGAAGCAAAACTTAATATCACTGATTCTATTCATCCAGTTTTACTTATTCTAAAAACCCTTATTATACAGGCTAAAATATTTTTGATTGCTCTGTCCATTTGCTTAACATGCACCCTTAAAAAGCAGCAGCAAAGTACAGGGTGATAGTATGGAGACGTTTTGCATGTCTGTGGCTGACTGAACTTCCATATGCAAACAACAAGCAAAATAAGAATTTGTTTCTGTATAGATCCCCTTTAATGACCACAGCCTTCTGTAGGGCCTCACAAGTGTATATTGAACATTTTATCATCCAATAGCTGCAAACTTTATCGGGATTTTAAGTGATAAACCAACACAGAGTAGTTTAATGTATTTGTTAAATTACACATAGGTTTTTTTTTTTTTATTATTATTATTTAATAGTAAGGTAACTCCTAATGGTAAATGCATGCACTGGATTTGATCTAATAAAAATACATTGTGTTTGTGATTGCAACGTGACATTTTACAGTTCAAGGTTTTTACGATTACTCTGAAACGCTAGAAGTATTGCATGTCCCGGCATATAAACCCCTCTGCTTTTTGAAAGCATATTTTTTGCTCTAGTTTCTAATATGTAGGATGATTGTTGTTCTAAGAGGAAACCAAAAGATAACACAGTCTCAAAAAATAGGAATTATTTATAGAATTTAAAGGAAACTAAGGTAACTAATCATAGAGTTGATTAAATCTCTCCCACACCATGCATGAAGCTGTTGCAGAGCTATGTAGCTCACTGAGTGGCAATCACATCCTATGCACAGATCCTACCTCCCAGCTGCTGTTAAAATCTTTAATGCTCTCAGCAGACCCAGTAATTGTTTACAAACAGGCTACTGGTTGGACTGGTCCTTGGTCTGATCAAGAGTTATTTGCAATTTTTCTAATCCGCTCAGTTTATAGTTTATATTTTAAAGATGTTAAGGACCACAGATGCTGATGGCTTTTTGCATTGTTTTTACCCATTTTAATGTATTTGTCTATACAGGCTGGCTGCAGCTTTTCCTCATTTTGTAAGCCTAATGTTATTTTTCTTTCTCTGTCTTCTTCACTGCAATATTTCTCATATTTACCAGAATATGCATTTCTATTGATAACAGCACAGCATATTTTAGTTCCCAATATGTTTTTTTCTCTTTTGCTGTACATCTTAAGTTAAAAAAAGTTTTGTAAGTTCTGTGTTGTGTCTCCTTATTACTTGTTTTTGCCACAGTCACACCCTAACTGGTGGAACAATGGGGATTTTCTATTCTATACTCAAACCTGTTTCCTTGTTCATCAGTTCATTGTAGTAGGCGAAGAAAGCTCTGAACTCTGCCGGCCTGTGAGAGAGGACTTTGAAGACATTTGGCAAAAAGCCTCCCTGTAAGGAAAAAATAAAAAGTTAAAAACTCAAACGAAACGTTGCAGAAACTTTTTTTTCTTTTTTCTGTTGATTCACCTTTGACTCCACTTCCTCCATAAGCTCTACTATATCATAAGGCAAGTCCTTTCTGTAGGGGACAGGATAGCGGCTGATCTGCTCCGTAGAACTGCAGGAGCGTCTGCAGCCTGCAGCCCTCAGATGATCTGCCTTCACCCGCAGCGGACGGAGCCTCGCCTGCATGAACAGCAGACACAGTCCAGCAAAATACTAGAACCCAAGAGTCACTAATGCATTCAACTACTTACCAAGTGCGCGGCCGTAGAGACACGAAGCAGCTTCAACAAGACATTATTCGCCATGTCAGTCAACTGAAAAGAGAATTGGATGTAGGCCGATTATTATTGTTTTCTAAGTAAACTCAGTCAGATAGAAAGGAAGTCAAAATTAGACCAGCTCTTAAATAACGCTATTTAAATATTTAAGCTATGTATAAGTATTGGGTATATATAACGACTATGGATATATCTATTGCTAATAGTGGTTGAGTTAACAGTTTGTTAACCTTTTTTCTTAACACGTTCCTTTGCTTCGTTCCTATATATGATCCTAAGAGTCCAGTGAAACCAGCCAATCAACGAGCAGCACTGAGTCACGCCTGCTGTTCTCAACGCCCTGCTGCAGTAATTCATTCTTACCGCCAGGTGGCAGTCAATAGCTCAGATTGACCACAGCGCACATCAAGCGTTTCTCATTGACCCGGAAGAGATTTCAATTGACCCGGAAGAGATTTCGATGAAAGCTTTTTTTTTTTCACTTCTTTCATTTTTGTACACGAGAATTGGTTGGAAATTTAGAAAAATAATATCTAGTTTGAGGAGGAGTTTTACAAAAACACAGACATGTTTTACCATGTAAGTATGTATATGCTATTATCCTAATCTGAAGAGGCTGATTCGATCACTTATTTTGCAACGTTTTAGCAGAGCGTGGTCATGATGATTGCATCGTCAAACTTTTCCGTAGCTCCTTTTTACTGGTTAAACTGTTTGTTTTTTGTTTTAGATATCTTTGGAACATGAAATCTTATTACACCCGAGATATTTTGGACCCAACCTGCTCAACACTGTGAAGCAGAAGCTTTTTACTGAAGTAGAGGGAACCTGCACTGGCAAGTGAGTGAATTCAGATCTGTTCAGTATAATGTTATTATTACACTTCGCTGGTTTTAGCCTCTGGGTTATAATCCTACATTTTTCTGTTTGTAGTTGGATGCATAATATGAAAAATATAAGCCAAGGTGTCTTTTTTTGAAGTTTCTCTAAGAAAAACGATTTATCATATAAATATTAACAAAAAAAAAAATAACTATTTTATTAAGTAGACTCTCCTTAATTACTGCACCCCACAAACTAAATAGAAAAAAAAAATTATTTGCTAAAAAATATTACTTATGGCTGCAACTGATTTTTTTTTTTTTTTTGCAAATAAATTAATCTGTTGATTATTTTTCTAGATTCATCGATTTAATAATTGGATAGACCAATGTTCCTTAAAGAAGATATTTTACGAAACTGAACCTGTTGAAACTAAAACTTTTCCACCTGAGGGGTTCTGAATACAACATATTAACAGAAAAAAGACATTAATTTTTTTCTTATCTTAAATGCAAAATGTTTTTATTTTTCTTTACAACATTGGTTATACTTACTGCTCTAAGTGGGTCGCTCTGTCAGATAAAGGCGTGTTTTAAGGTCTATACTCCAGGTAAAGATTAATCGAATACTAAATTAGTTGACGATTATTTCAATAATCGATTAATCCGATTAATTATTTTAGCCCCACTTATGTCTATGAAGTGCTACAACCCCTCTAAAAATTTATAAAATTAAGCCATTGTTATTCCTGTGTTTACCAATAAGAAAAGTTCTGAATTCAAGATTCCTTCATAATTGTTTTATCAGATAAGCCTAAAATCATTTTAAAAAGATGATTTTGTCTTAAAGATTTAAGCAGAATTTTGCTCGTAGACAGATAAGACGATCTCAGGGGAATTTCTTACTATTTTGTACTTTATAAGTCAAAAGCTCGGGCCCCACAAATGTGTGGGGAATATGAGAGCTGCTGATTTAGATGATTTCATGGTGAGAAAACCTTGAATAAAATGTCATTAAACCTGAAAATTACATTTGCCTCTTTGTTTTCTTTTGGTTATGTTTGTTGGAAGGTTTAACTCAGATAAAGTTGACCAGTGATTGCTACTAAATATGGCTGAACAGCAGACACACAAGCACAATTGAACTGCTACTTATGTATAAGTTTAAGAAAATAAAACATATTATAATGAACATTTAGTCTTGAATGTTGGCAAATATTATAGTGAACTTTAAAAGTTGTGATATATGAATTACTGCATTTAAAAGATTCACATTTTTGTGTATTTTTTTATTTTTTTCCAGGTATGGCTTTGTCATCGCAGTCACCACCATTGACAATATCGGGGCAGGCGTAATCCAACCAGGCAGAGGCTTTGTCCTCTATCCTGTGAAGTACAAGGCCATCGTCTTCCGGCCGTTTAAGGGAGAAGTGGTAGATGCTGTGGTCACTCAGGTTAACAAGGTGAATTGTCATGCTACTTTTTTTTTCCCCCTGTTAAAATATTAGAGCAGTTTGTTGATACAGACCTGTTTGGTTAAAAACGTCAGTGAAAAGTTGTATTAAAAGGCTAAGAATCCTGCTCCTTGAAACATCTACTTCATCCAGATAGCACAGATACATGCTAAATAATCTATTTGATAAATGCAATTCATTTATCAATTTTATCAATTATGGGTAATTTTAGACTTTTCTTACTTTTAGAAATACTTATTGCTGATGTGCAATTGCAATTGCTGAGAACATTTTCTGATTCATAACCTCTATATTGGTGGCTGGTTTTCTACTATTTAGAAGCAATGAGATGTTGAAAAAATTGCATAGAATTGGAGATATAAGTAAAGTAGAAATTGTATTCCAAAACGCAACATTCCTTTGATTGAGACATGTAAATTTCGTATGTAGGTAAGACAGACTTCTGATGCGTTGTACATATAATGTAACAGATTGGAGCTGTTTTAGAAGAGGATTTAAAGCCTTTGAAATCTTTTTGCAAAATAACTTTTTAGCTACAGCGACATAGAAACCAGTGTTTTTTTATTTTGTTGAAACCTTTAACCCAAGGTTATTATTAAGTTAAACTAAATAAAGATAGAAAAAAAATGTATCAACTGAAATAAAATAAAAAACTAGAGCTGGCAAAAAAAACAAACTGAAACCTTATTTGGAAACATAGACTTAGACTACTTTGTTTATGCCACTGGGGGCAATTCATTTGAGCAGGACACCAGACAAACAAACAAAAATAATCATGTAATAAAATTAAAAAAACACAGAAAGATAATAAAAAGATAACACAGTTATCTTCAAAACAATTTAAAAGAATTTAAGAATTTAAAAGTCGAACAGCTGTTGGTATAAAAGAAGTGTACTGAACTAATTAAAACAAGCTGGATTTTAAGAGGGAATGTGCTCAGTGTTCATTTGTGTCTTTATTATAATGCATTAGTGTGAGGTCTAGTTTCCAGTTGCAGTTTTACGCCAGCAGATGGCCGGTACACCAGCCAGGTCAGAAAAGACTGTCGCTGAAATTAAGCATTTAAACACCTTTAACACTCCCCTCTTCCCTGTGCCTTCAAACTAGAAACATTTTAGCTTCTAAAATAGTCAGACAACATTTATTTTAAGTAGTGAAAAAATAGTTTTTCTATCCTGCTGCAGTCTTTGAATACATTTTTTTGTGTTTTACATGACTTTTTTTGTGATTCTTGCAGGTTGGGTTGTTCACAGAAATTGGCCCAATGTCTTGCTTCATTTCTCGCCATGTAAGTCAGTTTGAACCTTTTTTTTACTGGAACTTATTTCTTGCTGGGCATGCACATTTAGAGTTCATACTGCTCAGTAAAAAAAAATGTAATATAAACCTCTCTATTGCAGTCCATCCCCTCGGAGATGGAGTTTGACCCCAATTCTAATCCCCCTTGCTATAAGACCGTTGATGAGGTTTGAATATCTTTTTTTATTGCATTTTCTGAATACCTTCCCTAATTTAAAACCATATTCAGTAGTGTTCACATTGTTTTTAGCAATTACACAAACACTGGCTGCTGTTATTTGAATAACAATAAAGGGATTTTCTATTCTATATTTGATGTGGTTATTTTGACATTTCTCAGAGTAACACTTAGTAACTTAAATGTCTTTTTTCAAAGGATATTGTAATCCAGCAAGATGATGAGATCCGTTTGAAGATTGTGGGCACCAGGGTTGACAAGAATGACATTGTAAGTGGATTTATGTATTTAAATGTTATTTAGTAAAGGTGTAGACTTAGATTTAACTGTAAAACTTGCTGAGAACTTCTGCCTCCCCTTGTTTCTTTTGACAGACTATTACTCATCGCTCTTGTTAATGAAAGCATGTCTCAATTTCAGCTTCTGTTTCATGATCAACCAGTCATGCCACTTTAATCTGCTACACAGTACCACGTGTTTGAAAGCTTGCTTTGCATACTTCTAACCTTTACTACCTAGAGCTCAGTTTAACTGCTGTAGTAACAGGCGAATTTCATATGGATCCATATAATTTTGTGATTATGACTTGTTTAGAGTAGAGAAGTAAAGAAATGGAACAGACCCTTCTCACAAAGTTGCCTATAGATTCAGTTCTTGCCAAAGTGTATGGGTTGTTATTCGGATCAGATGTTGGACCAGTTATATTGTGAAACTGATCAGAACCCCATCAGTCTACATGAAGCTTAAAATGAACTAATTTGTTTTTCAGTTTGCAATTGGATCTCTAATGGATGACTATCTGGGTAAGTGTTTTGATAAGAATAGTATATTATTGTAGGTGTGCCCATTAATGCATGGTTTCTCTTAATGCTACTTATGGGATCTGTGTTTTAAAATGTTGTATTTTCTTGGTTATATATAGACACTACAGTATTATTTATTTTTTTGTAATTTATTTTTGTAGGTCTTGTGAGCTGATTCAAGATTCAGGGCTCATCATATGTGGATTTTTCAGCATCAGTTCCCTTGTCTTTGTACATATGTCTTTTTTACACTCTCTGTATGGTATAGTGACTACTGTTAAAGCACCATAATCATTTTATCTTGTTGTACTTTACATCCTACATTTTCTTTTGTTGTAATGCAAGAATGCAAACGAATACTGATGTCAGAATCATAATATTTAGTTAGCTAATGTTAGCGTATGATTGTGGCCAACAGAAGAGTACTTTTTTCATTTAGGAACATAAAATGTTGATGTTTTTGTTTGTAATATTTTTTTTTGTATAATGACATCAATAAAGTATTTCGTTTTCTCTTACATCTTTTTCTTTATAAAAAACGTCATTGTGTCCTTTCTTTGGAACATTTATTGTTGAATATTGTTAAAATTTAATGTCATGTTCTTTTTTTTAAGAGTGGTAAAGTTTAAAATCTTTAATGTTGTGACGCGTGAACGCGGAAAAAGCAGGGGCGCGCACGTCCCGTGGCCGTAAATAGGTGGGAGGAGCGCGCGGGCGTTCTTTCTTTCTCTCTTCCTGAAGATGGCGGCAGGGGTGAGTAAGATGGAGAGCTGTTAGCCATGGAGCTTGCCTTGTAATGTACTGTAACAATCCGACTAAAATCACAACCATCTTCTTGTCTATAGTGTCCATTTTAAGAGCACAATGTTAAAAGGCCGTTTGTTTGATATTTAAATGATTATTGACTCGCTATGTAACGTGCTATTCTTATTTTGGCTAGCTTTGCTAACCCAACAAAGCATTGAAGGTGCTGGGCCGGGGTTCTGCCACGTTACCTTAACTCTTATATGCCAATGACTCCTGTTTTTGGAGTTTTGAGTTTAATTTTTTCTGCTTTGGATGATTTCTTGCCTTATCTAGTCCTAAATCTTACCTACGTGGGTTTTGTAGACAGAAATGCTAGCTTTTTAAAAGATAGCCGGTGGCTAGTTAGTGTTTTAAATGGCTAAACCATTTGAACACGCACTGTTTAGTCTTGGATATCTATATTTTTTTTTTCTGACAACTATAGATCTGTTTTCGTTTTGGAATGCTTTTCTCAGTTTTTTCGGGGATGGCTTAATGGTAAATTTGTATTGACTGCACCTTTTCATTCATCGAATCAAAGCACAATTAGTGTAGATCCCTGCTCACTGCTTGGTTTGATTTTTCAAATTTTATCCTTTCTGACATGCTTCTAATCTTAATGAGAAATTAAATGCTAATGCATACAACCCAACAAAACGTGATTTAAAGGACCCCCCCCCCCAAAAAAAGCTAAATTTATCAACAAAAAAAGACATTTTTTTTTTTTTTTTGTCTTTTAATCCTGTACATTATCACCATCAGGTTTCTTTTATTTTTACCCTTTTAGACTCTGTACACATACCCAGAGAACTGGCGGGCCTTTAAGGCCCTGATCGCAGCCCAGTACAGTGGTGCTCGCCTCAAAGTGGCCAGCAACCCTCCTGCCTTCACCTTTGGGCAGACAAACCGCACCCCTGCCTTCCTGAACAACTTCCCTCTTGGCAAGGTGAGTAAAACTGGTTAGTTGGCTGACCTGCCTGATTCTTAATGATCTGCAGGTGGTGTGACCTTAGGTGTCCACACCCTGATTGTTGTGGATCCACCAAATCTCTGCTTTCTCCTTGTTATATTAAGTTCACCTCAAGCTATTTGCTAAATAAGTAACTAATCGGGTGGGGTACCCTGACTTGTCCTACAATATCTCATACTATTCTGTCACCACGTAGGTACCTGCCTACCAGGGTGATGACGGCTTCTGTCTGTTTGAGAGTAATGCCATTGCTCACTACTGTAAGTCTCATGCCTTCAAACTCTATGGTTATTTATACATATCAGTTGAATCACTTAAACATTGCATAAACCAGCGTATAAGTGTCTCTTTTGAATCAAACTTTGATCGCTTTGCACTTAAAATGGAGCTAATTTATTATTGATGGAGAATTGTGAATATGACATTGTTTCTGCATAACATCCAGAAGACAATACGTTTCTGAATGAGCAACACTTTAAGATTGTACCCTTTTTCAGTATCAACTTTGATTTGCGAAATAAGACTCATGAATCTGTTTTATTCAAACACATTTTATCCTGTGATCACAGTGAGCAATGATGCCCTGCGCGGTGCCACTCCTCAGGCTGCTGCCCAGGTTCTGCAGTGGGTGAGCTTTGCTGACTCAGAGATCATCCCTCCANACAAAAACATTTTTTTTTTTTTCTCTTTTAATCCTGTACATTATCACCATCAGGTTTCTTTTATTTTTACCCTTTTAGACTCTGTACACATACCCAGAGAACTGGCGGGCCTTTAAGGCCCTGATCGCAGCCCAGTACAGTGGTGCTCGCCTCAAAGTGGCCAGCAACCCTCCTGCCTTCACCTTTGGGCAGACAAACCGCACCCCTGCCTTCCTGAACAACTTCCCTCTTGGCAAGGTGAGTAAAACTGGTTAGTTGGCTGACCTGCCTGATTCTTAATGATCTGCAGGTGGTGTGACCTTAGGTGTCCACACCCTGATTGTTGTGGATCCACCAAATCTCTGCTTTCTCCTTGTTATATTAAGTTCACCTCAAGCTATTTGCTAAATAAGTAACTAATCGGGTGGGGTACCCTGACTTGTCCTACAATATCTCATACTATTCTGTCACCACGTAGGTACCTGCCTACCAGGGTGATGACGGCTTCTGTCTGTTTGAGAGTAATGCCATTGCTCACTACTGTAAGTCTCATGCCTTCAAACTCTATGGTTAATTATACATATAAGTTGAATCACTTAAACATTGCATAAACCAGCGTATAAGTGTCTCTTTTGAATCAAACTTTGATCGTTTTGCACTTAAAATGGAGCTAATTTATTATTGATGGAGAATTGTGAATATGACATTGTTTCTGCATAACATCCAGAAGACAATACGTTTCTGAATGAGCAACACTTTAAGATTGTACCCTTTTTCAGTATCAACTTTGATTTGCGAAATAAGACTCATGAATCTGTTTAATTCAAACACATTTTATCCTGTGATCACAGTGAGCAATGATGCCCTGCGCGGTGCCACTCCTCAGGCTGCTGCCCAGGTTCTGCAGTGGGTGAGCTTTGCTGACTCAGAGATCATCCCTCCAGCCAGCGCATGGGTCTTCCCCACTCTGGGAATCATGCAGTTTAACAAGCAGGTACACAGTGATGAAAAAGTGGTATGAAAGGTGTAAATCAGTGCAGGATGCACATGCACAAAGTGCTTTGTGGTCATTCAGGGTAAATGCTTTCTGTTCTAGGCTACAGAGCAGGCCAAGGAGGATGTAAAGAAGGTCCTGACTGTCCTGAACCAGCACTTGGCCACTCGCACTTTCCTTGTAGGGGAGAGGGTCAGCCTCGCTGACGTTACTGTGGCCTGCTCCATGCTTTGGCTCTTCAAACAGGTTTGATATGCACACCAGTCATTGCTTCCATAGAGACACAAAACCACTCAGGGTATTGGGTTTTTGTACTTGGGTCTCATTTCACACTCTCTGCAGGTGTTGGAGCCATCCTTCCGTCAGCCTTATACCAACGTGACTCGCTGGTTTGTCACCTGCGTCAACCAACCTCAGTTCAAGGCTGTTCTTGGAGAAGTTAAGCTGTGTGAGAAGATGGCCCAGTTTGATGGTGAGTTGTTGGTTTTGTTCTGCAAGCAAATACCAGGGGGGTGTAGTCTATCAAAACTAGTTGTTGATCTTGGCCAGCATTGTTTCTTTTCTTTTTTCACACGTTAATCAGGCATGCCTGTGTAAATTCTCAGCCATCCAGGTCATTGCAACCACAAAATGCACACCTGCAGGTTCAAACACCTGAGGAAGTGGGTTGTTCTCTTTAGAACAATTCACAATGTGTCTAAGGTTGGACCAGAGGATTGATTTAAATGAACTGGAATATTGGAGCAATGTTTTCTTCTTCTAGCCAAGAAGTTTGCTGAGATGCAGCCCAAGAAGGAAGCCCCTGCCAAAAAGGAAAAGGGTGGAAAAGAGGCAGCCAAACCCCAGGAGAAGAAGGAAAAGAAAAAGGAGGAGAAAAAGCCTGCCCCAGAAGAAGAGATGGATGACTGTGATGCTGCTTTGGCTGCAGAGCCAAAAGCCAAGGACCCCTTTGCACATCTGCCAAAGAGGTAATTATCCTTTTTGAATCAAATGTTTCAGTCGACTCTGAAAGGTCGCCTATTTACAGCTGACTTCAATGGGATTGGTTTGTGGTATATTGAGCATTTGATAAAGGTGTTGGATGTTTAATTTGAAGACGGTCTCCTGGAAAGGGGGCTGTGGTTTTTGATGGAAGTAAAAACACTCAATCCAAATGGCTGTTCCCCTGTCATTGGGCAAGGCAGTGTCCTGTTATGGCACCAGGTCTTAATCTGACAGGGGAAGAGAAATAAAGGCCATATTCATCCCAGTCATCTCTGATCAGTGAGAAAAAGGCTGGTTCATGCTGTGGTCACAAAATAAACTCAATTGAACTGTAACTTAAAAGGAAATGTGGACAGGAAGATCTCTGTGAAGCCCAACACAATCAATTGTTTTTCAGCCAGCAAACATTCACTATACCTTTGACAAACATGCAGATGTTAGAATAAAAAAATGCATGCATGCAGTCAGTTTTCTATTAAAGCACACATCTAATATCTTGTGCAACAAAAGCTGTTAAAACAAAATAGAACACAGCTAAAATAGGTGAGAAAGATGCACTGAAAATTGGTATTTAAAATGCTATATATTTTAATATAGATTTTTTTTTTTTTTTTTACTACTAAATCCATGATGCCAGTTTTAAACAAATGTTTGTCATCCCGGTCACCTCAAGATTTAAGTTGTGACCTTTGAATAAATAACACAGTTCTGATAAACTAAAGGAGTTAAAACTGAATTTGACTAATTTGGTTCCCTTCGATCCGCACTAGCCCTGATGACTCTCTCTGCTTTTTGCAGCTCATTTGTCATGGATGAATTCAAGAGAAAGTATTCCAACGAGGACACATTGACTGTAGCCCTTCCTCACTTCTGGGAGCACTTTGACAGAGAGGGCTACTCAATCTGGTATGGTCAATACAAATACCCTGAGGAGCTCACACTTACCTTCAAGAGCTGCAACCTTATCACAGGTGAGACTACAGGAAGGCCTCAACGTAAACTCATTGTTTCTAAATTGATTGCGTGCAGAGTACCATGGTGTTGTGATTTAAGTCTTTTGTTATATGGGGTTTGAATTCCAGTTGCAGCATGAAGGGCATCAGGTTTAAAGGCGTAGCCAAGTTGCATATAGATTTTTAT